GTTCTGACACCCACGCACATTACATGGAGCACTCGGCAGAGACATGAGCACAGAGCAGTTGTGTTGAGCACAGAATCTGACATGCAACAGCAAGCAACTCATGTTGGAAAGCTGCTGTAGAGCTGAGAGAGATATATTTCTCCTTCTTTTGTTTTTATTATTGTGTGTGTCTGCTGGAGTCCTGTACTGTGTGTGTGTGTGTGTGTGTGTGTGTGTGTGTGTGTGTATATAGCCCAGGTCATGGCAGGAAAAGGAAAGACAGAAAAATGGGCCATCACAGTGAAGGTAACATCCATGCCTTGAGGTTGACGACAGGATCCGTGTGTCCACAGTTGGTTAGGCAGCTGGTGTGTGTGTTGTGTAGCTCCGGGCTGCCTTGGCTCAATCCCTCTCCTTTGTACGCCAGAAAGAGGCCAGTTTCCAAGATGAATTTAGTGAAAGATTAAGACCCACGCTATATTTTGGTTAGCCTTGTGACTGCCTGATTCATAAAGTATCTTTCCAGGGTGCTGAAAAAAGCCAAACATCTGGCTGATGCAAATGTTGAGGTTTGGATGATTCTTAAATGCTGTGTCTATGCAAATGTCTTCTCACCGCAGAGATTGCATTGTAAATCGCTGCCTGAAAGGACAGATAAGTCAACAGTGGTCATACCAATGGGCCATTATATTTATGTGCGTATTTGCATGCAGGTTAGCCATGATGCTGATAATCCTCATGGCATTGCAGAGGGAAGCCGCGGTTGGCAGGGATAGTCCTGTTTGAGGACAAGGCGTTTAGTGGCCTGTGTGTGAAGCACAATGAAAGAAAATATAGGATATGAGCAGCTAGTGTAAACAAAGCAGGCCCTGCTCACACACTAACATAACCTGATAGACTGACAACCCAGCCTCACCAAGACAGCCTTGTGTCAAGTCCATCAGGTGTTGTGTCACAAGCTGACATCAGTTGCGTTATGTAGAGGCTTATGAAAGCTAACCTGGTAATAAGATACACGTTTGGCATCTTAACATGTTAGAATTTAGAAACCATTTTATTCTCAGTAGTTCTTCTTTATCGGGCTATTTGAACCAAATGTTCCTGCTACGCTCATTGTTGTCGGGCTACCCAGGATTGAGAGTTCTCTCTCTGTTCCAAGAAAGGCATGAGCTTCACAAAGGACCAGTATGTGTGTGTGGGCTGTGTGGTGTACCTTGCTCTGTTGCATTGGGGCAGAATCTAAGCTCTTGTGATTTTCTTTTATTTATCACACATTCATAGCTACCTTGAACTACGGTTGCAATGGTATGAGATTTTCATAGAATGATAATGAAAATATTGCGTTTCTTATTTATTTCTTATATATTATTTATTAGCAGATAAATTACCCTTTTAAGAAAAACAACAGCATTTGAATTGTAACCCTGAATTTAAAACATACTCAAGTTTCTTTCAGTACAGTAGATAAACAAATAGTATTGTAACCTTCAATTTTCATACCAGTGTACCGTTACAACCCTACCTGGAGTAGAGTGTTATCAAACCCAAGTAGTGTGTGAGCTATTAAAAGGTGCCCTCCTTTTTCTAGGTCATTACCAAAAAAGAATGGATGGATTCTAGTTATGAATATCCAAAATTCTTGACAGAGAGGGATGAGAATGGAGAGGCATATTTCTAGCCTTAGGGAGGTTAGGAGGGGTTGTGAAGAAGGGGAGGGAAGAGAGAGTACTTGTAAGGGTGGGTGGGGGGAGGCTGGTGGCACATAAATGGTTGTGGCTGGTGCCGGTATAATCTGGGGAGGAAAAAAGGGAAGACAGAGGCTCGTAGTGTGTTGTCTGGGGAAAGAGGGACACGACAGTTAAGAGAACACAGCGGAGAGAGATCTTGTGACGGGGTCACGAGAAATAAATCAGACATCCAGCTGGAGAGTGATCCTTTTGCTCCTTCTGCTAAAGCAGTCTGCAGTCTCTACCAGGACATTAGTGCCTGCCCAATGCAAAGAATATCCTCTCCAATCATTTGTATTAGGCCGACTGCCGTCTTTGTAGGCACCGGTCTTTACTTTTTTACCGCAAAGCATTGATTCACCAAGGAGAAAGATCTTTTTCAGTGAATCATAATCTCTCTAATCTCTGTTCTCCAAAATTGGGCATTTTTTTAGGATGATAAGTCGGAGGAGGGTCACTTCCCCATATGGACACAGTGTTGAAACCCTCATTTTGTCTCTGAGATTAAGCCCTTTCTCCCTGCATCAGTGGAGAAGGTGCTATGTCTTCCGAACATTTCTACAGTCCTTGGTGTTAGAAAGCCCCCGATACTGACCCCAGACCAGCCCCTACCCCACCACCTTCATAGTCTCTGTGGAGCCACGGCCCTTCTTCTCTGTGCTACACCGAAAGATGAAGAGCACAGAGCAGGCCTGAGGGGCTCGCAGTTATATTTACTGTCTACTACGAAAGAGTGGAGAGAAAAGGGGCGGATGGGAGGGGTTTAAATCTATAAAAAAAAAAAAAAAAAAAAAAGCTGGAAAAAAAACAACACAGGAACGAAAAAGAGAGGGAGACAGAGGAAGGGTTGCTATGGTAACAGAAATATGGCTGCTCTTCAAAAACCTTGAATGTAGGTGGTGGTGAGATGAGTGTATGTGTGTTTTTCCTCCTCGTCTTTCCCTTTCAGCTTTGCAGATATTATGGATGTGCTGGATCCTTTTTGATGTCACTGAGGAACTGAAATGCCATCAGCTTTCTTTCTTTTTTTGTGGCCTCAGGGTGGTGTTTCTGGGCATGAGGAACATAGAGGGCTAGTGTGAAATGTGGGTTAGGTCCAACAGACCCCCCCCAGCCAAGTGGGGGTTTATTTGGCAATCGCTGTTGGTCTTGAAAAAGCTTGAAAACGTGTGTTGTACTCAATGCAGACATTCAGATTGTCCCCCTAAAATCAAGGGGTTTTGGTGAACAGAAGCAGAATACATGTTTTAAAGCAAATGCCTATAATCCAAAGCCTTTTCTTGGGATCCTCGCCATATGTGTCAATCTGGAAACCTGACACCACTTGAAGTGATGATCTTACAGCCAGATATGGACTCAAGAGGGCAGAGGAGGATCACTGGAGGAATGCAGCCTTTTGACAACGACCCCTGCCGTCACCTTTTGGCAGAGGCACTTAAATGTTAGAACCTGAATGTAGGGCAAGTTGTCTTAATTATCTTCATTAAATTAGCCTGTAACCCCCCCCCCTCCCAGAACTCATCATCTCTCCTCTTCTTCGTTTAAACATCTTTGATTTGCTCACTCTCGACACTGAGGGATAACATCCTGATGTCGGACAAAGAATCTGTGATGCATCAGCAGTCGTAACAAGTTTAGTTAATCAACTTGGAATTTCAAAACGCGTATAACTGACTCGGATGGCCATCCAACATTAATCAAGTTGAAGTATTATACCATTACTGGCTTTATTTTGACCAGCTTATGCGGAATAACAGAAATGAATGAACACTAAACGTCAAATACACAAACAGGCTGCAGTGTCTCTGAAGTCCTCAACTGGGATCCAAGTGTTTCGGTCATTTTTCCCTTTCATGGAGCATGTGTCTCGGGTCACAGATTTGGCTTGTTCCCCTAATGTACAAATGGGATTTGTAGAGGATGGGTGGCTGGTGCCTAAAAGAAGTGGTCAATAGGAATAATGTTCTGATCACAGTATACGTCAAAATTACTATAAAGTGGGATCTTTAACACGTGCAGAGACATTAAGAGGATATATCTAAACGGTACAGAAAAATCTCTGTTGACCATGTGCTCGCCTCACAGTTTATAACCTGATATTATCCAGACCCCTGTGTCTGAGGCTGGGCTGTACCTAATGTTGTGTCTATTAAAGATATAAATCAGCAAATGTTTTATCAGATCTTGGAGTCATGGTCATATTGCTTCTTGAGTACAAAGTCCTATGCAGTGCTGTAAAACTCTGTTTATACCTTTTGAACAAGGCAATGCGGAGATAGGAGTTTCTCTGTACTCATTGACCTTTCCTTCCTCTCAGATGCTATACATGTTTAACACAAGGATGTGAAACACTTAAAGGTAGGGTAGGTAATTTTGGAGAAACCAGCTCGAGATCGCTAGAATTTGAAAATACACAGCCGGAGAAAATCTGCCACTTCCTTACAGAGCCCCTCCTCCAACACACACGAACGCGCACATGACCAATGAGGGCACGAGATAAGTTTGTGCACAGATGGAAGGCTGACAGGCAGGTAGGCCATCCAGTTATTTTAGCCGGGCCGGCTAAAATGATTGGTCGTGCGTTTTACAGTACTACGGCTTCCACAGATGACATTTTATGGATGTTTTGTCAAAGCACTTAAGATATTCATTGCTATCGGGATGTTAAGAGCATTCCATGGAATATAACAAAAAGTGTATCTCGAGCCGGTTTCTCAAACTTACCTACCCCACCTTTAAGGCTACCAATATTACCCAAAATTGATGAGTTACCAAGCGCTTGATTTAAAAAAAAAAAAAAAATGTAAAGTACCAAATATTTATTTGAAATGATTTTTATTTATATGTTTTACTTCTTCATGAAAACGATTTGATTTCTAATCAAATCGTTTTCATGAAGAAGTAAAACATATAAATAAAAATCATGGATAAGAGACAGTATTAGTAAGTTTGCCATGGACAATTCTGTAGGTTTCTGAAGAATGGACAGAAACAGAAAGTGTCTTGCCACACTTGTTGTCTCGCTCTCCTCCCATTATCTTGGTATCATTGATAAATGAATGTAAGGCTGTACTGTGTGTAGAGCTCATTATGCTAAACATACTGAAAACTGTCAGTAACAAAAGCACCTTAACAGAATCGTCTAAAATGCTTGTATCCAACATGACACCCCCTGTTGCATGTTTCTTGGTCTTCTCAATCAGTTTGTATTGTGGATGTGCCGTTCCCTCCTCCTGTGCCCAAGATGTCAGTTTGCTGCTCTCTCTAACTGTACGTCTCCGCTGTCCTGTCCAGGTACGGGAGAAAGTGGCAAGAGCACCTTCATCAAGCAGATGAGGATCATTCATGGAGCCGGGTACTCAGACGAAGATAAGAGAGGCTTCATCCGGCTTGTTTACCAAAACATCTTCACCTCCATGCAGGCCATGATCCGCGCCACTGAGACCCTCAAGATCCCCTACAAATTTGAACAGAATCGGGTAAGGACACAATCACAGAAATAAGACAATATTCTTTACTTTCTTCCAGTCAGTTGTTTGAGTCCCCTTTGATTATTTTTAAGGTGGCCTCTTAAACAAAATATACTTTATTTTCCAAATGAATGGAATTAGATACTGACAATGGGGGCACAATAAAACGACATAATTATAGTCTATCAATTTATGCTAAAGTGGTTTTCCATTTCAGTCCTTAGAGCTGACTTGGTTTGTTATTGTGAGCTTCTAATTGAGGACTGATTTACACCTGAGATGCAAGGTTCATTTAGCCCACCACTCATTAGGACAGAAATCCGGCAGTATATTTCACAAGGACCAATATTTGGCAAATGGATGACATAAGATGCATTCTACTGTTGCCATCCACAGATCAATTAGTGTAGATGACATCACTTATTTAATGTTGACAGTAAAATAGCCTCACATTTACATTTAAAAAAAAATGTGTTGCCCATAATAAAATATTTTCATTAAAACAAATCACAACCTTCTGGAGTATGTAATATTGGTTGTAGATGAAGAACAATATTAGTTTGTTTCATATATTATTGTTAAGCGTTAGATTAGATCTTTGTTACCAATACATTGCAAACAATACTTTCTCCACAAAAGATGGATTACAGATATGTCCAAAATCTTGGCAACAACTTTTTTGTTTGCCCTATTCTCTCACTGCTCCTCCCCACTGTCCTTTTATCTTGTTTTATCTCACCTTTTTTCCCCCTTACCTGTGTTTTCCAGTCTAACGCCATGATCGTCAAGGAGGTGGACATCGAGAAGATCAGTGGGTTTGACTTTCACTTCATTGCAGCTATCAAATGCCTTTGGTCCGACCCGGGCATCCAGGAGGCCTACGACCGCCGCCGGGAGTACCAGCTCTCTGACTCCACTAAATAGTAAGTCTGCGTGCATTCGAATGTTATTTTTGTGAGTTTGATACAGATTTACCAGATTTTTTTTATTTGAATTTGCAATGATTTAATTAGGATCCCTTTGCCAATTAAAGGTTACAACAGTTGGTAATGTATCTGTTCCCAAATCTGTGTAAAACGGATAGAATTTTTTACAAATGAGTTATGTGGAAACGTTTTGTTAGCGTGTTTGTGGCATCCTCAAATGCATCCAGGATTTGTACAATGTAGGTGTGTCTTTGCTGAAATTAACATGACAACGTGCATGCATGCAGATCATTTATTAAAGGCTCAGGTCCCCATCATCAAGAAAGAATAATATATTGGTCACACTAGTTCTGTTCACAAATGTAGCGATTGACTTGTTTTTTCAAATGCCTTATTTTAAATTGCATTTTTTATGATTTCTGAAACTAGATAACCCACAGTTAAGTGTAAATATTTGTTTAGTTTAATTTGTGGCACAGAAACCGAGTTGTTCCTAGAGATCAGGTCACAACAGTTTTAGTAACTAGGATGTGGTGTTGTTGCTGCAGGTTGTGTTTAATTACCTGTGTATCATTTCCTTGTGTGTTTTGTAATGTATGCAACACGGTAGCATTTTGTCACACACATCTGACTAGTTTCCAAATTCACCAGCCAATTTTACAATTTAACAATCCCATATGAAAAATTAGGTCACTGCTATTTGGCTATTTAATTGTTGGGTATTGTCCACCTTGAACGTTATCTCTAGTATATCATAATTTGTATCTAATTTGTTAGTGCAATGTGTATTTTGGGTTCCATACCCGGTCTCCACCAGCTATTAGAGGGTAACTTTTACTGATGTAATTTTAAGGCTGTTATTTAAGTTTGCCCTTTTATTTGTTTAGCCAAATGTGTCAGCCGCCTCTTCTATGGCTTTGTGTGTTTGCCACACTTGCATTGTAATAATGTATGTGACCCCAGGGCTAAATGGCTAAAAGTAATTTTACTCACTCTCTAGTGCCCCCTGGCTGTGGATTTGTATTACTACACTTTAATGCTGCTTCAAGTCAGCATGAATGCAGGTGTGCTTGCCATCTAGCCACAATTAAATATGTACAAATGATTGAGGTGCTCCTCATTTGCAATGACGCAAAGTCATTAAGAAAAGAGGCACATACTTAATGAAAACATTGCAAACTTGAGTGAGGCGGTTTGAGATCATTGTCTTGAATTATCTAGGGGTGGTTTTTCTTAACAGCTGCAGATATTTCCATATGTTAGGTACATATATAAGCGGGAATAGCAAGTTATTTAGGGTCCTGTGCTCCCCTCCAGCATAGATGTTAGACATTTCTTTAAATGATATCACCATAATGTAGAAGAAAGCTGCTTTCTGCACAAACATCTGCAATGGTAAAATGAGGACATTGATATATGATGTGTGTAAATGTCTATGTTATGGTAAATATGCAGGCTATTTGTTTGTGCATGTGTGTGTATAAGTGAATAAGAAAAGGAAATAATTAAATATGTTTTTATTTGAGTGTTATCCACACTGTTATCATGTATATCTCCAGTTACCTTAGTGATATAGACCGTGTGACTGCGGAGGGATACGTTCCCACCCAGCAGGATGTGCTGAGGGTCCGTGTGCCCACCACGGGTATTATAGAGTACCCGTTTGACCTGGAGAACTGCATCTTCAGGTACCCCGATGGCACCAGGACTGCAGCATCACAGTGGTCTAGAGGACAGAAACCACTGATATCTGTCAGGACATTAACTCGTCAGTTAAGCAGGGGCTAAGCTTTTGTGAATTACTACTAAACTATTTGTACCCAAGAGTTCACATCCCTGGAGCCTGTCAGTGCTATTCCAATGCGATTACAAACTTTAAAATGCCCTTACTTTTCTTTAAAAAATAAACATTGTCCTACAGAGAAATATATAGATGATGTTGTGTTTAGATCAAATGAGCAACATCAGTCAACCTGACTTAACATATCAGTGGTTTGTGTTCAGTAAAATGCTAATGTTCTGGCTCCACGATTTAAACTAAACCCAGACGTGCTGCACTAGCGTTTTTGGAGCACCCTCTAAATACCAGATGAAGAAGGATTAGGGATGTCAAAGGTTCTCCAGGAAGCAGCTGTCAAATCAGAGAAGCTATCGGAAACAGTTTGAAATACAAAACAATTACAACTTTTTAGATTAGAATGGCTTGCGTATGGATCATGCTTCCTTCTATCTTTGGTATCATACTTGTCCTTCTTTATCTAACGAAGGGGCTGCTGTTTCTGCTGCTGAAGTCACTGCTACTACAGTCACTATTGCCACCTCACCGTCTGTAAAATAATCAACACGCACAAATAGTCTTACATTTGAAAGCTGCAGTTGCAAATTAACAGCTTGTGTTGGTTTTTGGACAGAGTGGTGGTGGAGCAGTGACCCTAACTAACACCCTAATGTTTCTGAGTTGTGGCCTTTTCTGTGAAGCTTCCTCAACAGGACTGATCCACACTTCCTGAAATGGCAGGGGGGGGTTGCGGTAATTGCCTGTCATGCTTTATATAACTGTTTTCTGTCTGTTTTTCTCTTTATCTCTCTTTTTCCCCTCGACCGGCCTGCCTGTAGTTATCTTTCCGATCTGGATCGTATTGCAGATCCCGGCTATCTTCCCACTCAGCAGGATGTGCTCAGGGTGCGCATCCCCACTACAGGAATCATAGAGTACCCATTCGACTTGCAAAGCATCATTTTCAGGTAGAAAGACGCCTGTTTTGGCTCAGTCCCGTCCTACATCATCATTAACCCATACGCCATCTGATGTTTTGTCAAAAGCGCCACATAAACCATGCTTTTGTCCTCCCAATTAATGGAAACAACGTGTTACCGTTTAATTTATGCTTTCTTTTCGCACTTAAGTGTCTCTATTCCATTCTTGCTTCATAACCATTTCCTCTAATCATGTAAACGAAAGTCATTGCCAGTTAACATTTTCCTCAGTCCTACACTTACCTCCTGTCACCAACAGCAATGGTACCACACATAACACAACCCCCTAATGATCACAAAGTCCTACATTCTGGTGCCCGGTCTCTGTAAATGGGTCACCTCCTCTCCTCCTCTCCTCCTTTCCTCTCCGGCTGGCAGAAGAAACGAGGTCGTCCTCTCCGGTGGAGGAGTGTTATTTTGGGCAGCAGGTCCTGCAGGGCCTATATTGGCCCTGCGTCTCAGTGGACCACAGTGGACTGGGCCACCACCAGGGGGCACCATTGCCTTGTGAATTATATTCACTTTGTGAAGCCCTCTCAAGGACCATAATGCACCTGGTCTTGGGGTTTGCATTAGTGCATTCAAAAGGTGCAACATTATACAGAATGATAGCCTTTAAACTATCCATATGCCTTTTTACGTAATGGCTTGACATTAAAGGCTCTTGACCGGAAATATTCTATTGAATCGGTTGTCACAAATGAACGCTTAATGAAACTGGGACCTTAACTCCCTGACGAGTGAAGGGTGACCTTGTGAAGGAGAAGCTCAGGGAACCTGAAACCTTTGGAGGATTCAGGAAGTATTTCAGACAGGATTGCTGTTCATGAATGGCTTTGGCGCTTCAGGCTCATGTGCTGAGGCTTTTATGTCAGTATTTTGCTAGGTTAGTTGTATTAGTTTGTCTTTAAGAAAATGTATATATATACCACACTTCTTCTGATGCCATTCTTTCAGCTTGTAGCTTCTCATTGGGTTACATAGGAGGCATTCTTCTACAATGAAAAGGATCCCACCATCAGAGGTGCCCCCTGTATCTTTCATCAACATTTCAACTCTGCCTCCTGTCCTCTTTCTGTCATCTATCTTAGTTTCTGTGCCCCTCTCCATGTCATTTTGTGTCCTTTTTTTTATTTTATGTTCTTCCTTTTACCCCATTTGTCTTTTGACAAGTGTTTTTCAAAACTTCACAGAATGTTTTTGTGTGGTGTTTTATCACACAGCCCCGAGAAGGTTGAGAAAGCTGTCTAGTAGATAAATGAATGACCCTCCACTTTCACCATAGCACACGCACAGAAGTACAGACTGATCTAGTATCAGATGTGATCCACGACCACATAAATGCCACTTGGTTTAAGAAAACCAGTCATATATTTCTCTAGAAAATGTATATCCTACACATTTTATTTGCACAATCTGACAGACAATCTGCTAAGCGGCTGCTCCGCGCTTTTTAAAAATGTTCTCAACTGCTTCTGCTTAGACATTGTGACTGGGCTTTTGACAAACAATGTAAATCATTCCTAAACTGAGTGGCATTGATGTAAAACTGATCCTAAATCGCTCTGACACGGGAAGCTTTCATCTTTGTGGTGGCATGCATGGCTCAACTATTTACAAGGACAAAAGCATCTTCACACTGCACATGTGTTTCTTGTTTATTTGTTGTTTCTTTAGTTTCCTGCCAAATATAGAGTTCTGCACACGTTTGAATTTGATTAATCCACTTGTAAAGGTGTTGAATCCATCAGGTGTTTTTTCCAAAAGGTTTGCTTAAAATATCTATAGGACTGCAGAATATTCTCTTTGTTCTTTTTAAACAGATAATCAGGACCAAATGATGGATTCATATGTCCCAGAGTGACAGACTATATCTTTATTTAGGTCATGTGCTAAATATGTTCAGGAAGACGCCAGAGAATGTCTTTAGGACAGCTGGACATGAAACTAAAATGTTCCTTTTATTATAGAGGAACTTTATACACTTTTTGTTTTACACAAAGCATAATTCAATATGTGGAATATACTTGAATAAATAAGGTCCAAAACTACCTGTAAATATATCTTGATGGATTCAAACCCTTCAAAACAATTATTATCCATTAGGCCAGAAATTGGCGATACCTTTTGACGATGTGAACTACTAGCTAAAACAAAGCTAGCCAACCTCGAGCTAAATGCTCGTAAGGTTTTCCCCTTTTTGATTCTTCACTCATTATCCAACCATTCCCCTTCATCCTGCCGTCAGGATGGTGGATGTAGGGGGTCAGAGGTCAGAGAGGAGGAAGTGGATTCACTGCTTCGAGAACGTCACCTCCATCATGTTCCTCGTGGCGCTGAGCGAGTACGACCAGGTCCTGGTGGAGTCCGACAACGAGGTAGGTGGACGTTACACATGACCATTCATTCAAAAACGTATCTTCACACACAAACATAGAAACAGTATTGCAGTAATGTGTCGTGAACTTCTTACACCTAAACAAGATGTCTCAACCATTGATACTAAACATGACTGTTTTTTCTACACCAGAACCGTATGGAGGAGAGTAAAGCTCTGTTCAGGACTATCATCACCTACCCCTGGTTTCAAAACTCCTCCGTCATCCTCTTCCTCAACAAGAAGGACCTGCTAGAGGAGAAGATCTCCTACTCACACTTGGTGGACTATTTCCCAGAGTTTGATGGTAGGTCCTTTTTTATACGTGTGTATATCTGTGAGTGTGTATACGAGTGTGCTTGCGTGGGTCTGTTGAATAATCTAGCAATGTACATTTGGGAGTCGCCCCCTTAGATAAATGACTGTAGTTTATGTGAATGTGTTTTTTAATGATAAAACACCACTTTGAAATGAGTATACCCATAAAATATTATTGATGTTCCTACTTTTAAACCAACCAGTCGATTATCTGCTGCCTTATCAATTTATTTGTCTATAAGAAGGTTGGGGCATAATGTAAAACGACCAAACACTAAGAATCGTGTTTTTGCTAACACAGAATGAGCCCTTCGTATCTAAATATAGAGCAGGTCCGCAGAGTCTTAGACATTTCTTGACACAATATTTTATCCATTTAGCCAGTATTTATAATACGGGTTGCTATCTATGTTCAGCGAGATGGAACATTTTAATGTCACTTGCTTGTTATCAAATGCTGATAGCATTTAACTCCCTTGAAAAACTCATTCTGATATATTTACATTTATGTTAATGTGCTTATTACACAAATGTTATAAGATGTGATAATTATTAGGTTTTAGTGAGTAGGATCAAGCCAGGCTAGCCGCCTCTCCCCAGTCTTTATGCTAAGCTAATCATCACTTTTAAAGGACAGCCGTTAACAATTCAAAATAAGCTTATTTCCCAAACTGCTGACCTACTCCTTTTAATCAGTTTATATAATACTATAATATATGTTTGCATGTGTCTGCCTATCTCTGATTCTCAGGTCCACAGAGAGATGCACAGGCAGCGCGGGAGTTCATCCTCAAGATGTTTGTGGACTTAAACCCCGACAGCGACAAGATCATCTACTCTCACTTCACCTGTGCCACGGACACTGAGAACATCCGCTTTGTGTTTGCAGCTGTCAAAGACACCATCCTACAGCTCAATCTCAAAGAGTACAACCTGGTGTGAGGGCCCTACGTACGACGCACATCTCCTCCCCATTGCACAAATCCACACCTCTTTGGGAGTGTGCACTCAAGTTCACATGCATTACACAGCACACCATGCCGGCACACACACAAACACACACCAACAGAATCCTTACCATTTTTTTTTTTCTCCACTACAGAACATTCGCAAACCTCCCACATGCAAACGCCGCCCCTCCTCTTTCACCAAAGCTCGCCCTCTTCCTCTGTCGCTCGGCAGCTTGTTGCGTGAGAGTCCCCGCTCCCCCCCCCCCAAAAGCTGCTTCTCGTGTCAGATTTGGCCTCGGCTGCTGGCTCTGGCACATTTCATCTGGCACACAAACCTTTCACACGGACTGTACAGTGACTTAAGGGGACTTTGGTGTTTGTTTTTGTGTGTGTGTGTGTGTGTGTGTAGTACGTGTGTGTATTTGGGGCAGTATTGACTAGCGAGGAGCTGAGTTTTGGTGAATAACTGCATCAAACTCTTTGGCCGTTCGGAGTTGACCCTCTGTGGTGTGAGATAAGATCCTCGTCCTTTCTGAGCTACTATCGGTGCGGAAGGAGGTGAATACTCTTTCTCCTGAAACCTACTAAGAACTAGCGAGTTGCTTCTTGGGACAGAGTGACCCGGACAGGAAGTGAGGTTGCACACCGGACACAAGGGGTCGGGGCTGAGGATTCTGTCTCCATCTCGCATCCATGAATGTACCCAACAGTGTGAGCATCGCAATCGCAAAAAAAATAAATAGATATGAAGTAAATGCATATGTAACACACTTAAGACAAAAAGCACGAGAGGGCAAGTCATAGCTAATCAAAAATCTGTTCTTTGCTGAGTTTAAAAAAAATGTTTTTAATGATAGAAATGTGTTGCTACGTCTACTTATATTTAACAAATAATGGCTAAATGGAATGATGATGAGAAGTGGTAAGAAAATCTATAAAAAACATTTAAACTAAAGACATTTGAGAGAGAAGCAACCAGAAATGTACTTGACATAAGTATCCTTTAAAAGTTTCTGTGGGATTGTTTTTCTAAGTCGATCACATCGCTTCCCTCCAGATGTGTTCTGTATAGATTCACTGGGACAATCTTCCATGTGACCTTCACAGCATCTGGCTCCACTGATACACCCCGACACCCTTATTACAAAACACTAGTAGCGGAAGAGAGCACCCTGCTTTCAACGCAGGCTCTGCTCTGATTGGTGGAAGCAGTTGTTGAGGGGAGCGTGATGTCATCAGTGTTTATCAGCCCAAAGAGCACATCTGCAGCTCGGGCTGCAAGTAGCTTATTCAACTAAATGAAAGCTGTAAATGAAACGCACTCACACCCCGGATGTGAATGGGATCCATGCGGTAACATCTCTGACACGTCACACCTGCGTCACTCAGCCGTCCAATCAGACTCACTCCCTGGCGGTGATATAGTCATCACGTCAGGATGTGCTTCTGTTAACTTTTTTTTTTACTGTATAGTCACTTTGTTTATAAAGATTGCTTGCTTTTGAGTGGTGGGGCGGGGGCGGGCGGGGGGGCAAACCTTTCACAGAAAACACACTCTGAAGTCTGCAAACATTGTTTGTGTATATTTGTTTGTAAATACATATACACGAAACACTCCTGTACAAAAACGCTCTGTGGTACACCATCTTTGGCAAAAAACTAACAAAAAAAAAAGAAAAAATTATCAACTTCTTTCATTAGCATACAGTTTTTTCCTATGAATTTATGGTAGTAGTTATACTGTGATTATGGATTTTGTTCACTTTATTAATAGGACTACACAGAGCTGTTGAGGAAACGATGGAGCAGTAGTCAGAGAGAAGAGGCTCCACCAACAGCCTCAAGCTCCAGCGCTGGCTCCAGAGTGTACTCTCTAGGGCTGGTAAAAATCTTCACAGTGTGGTGATGAGATGATTTTAAGAGTAATTAAAGATTTTTTTTTTATTTATCTAATTTATGGACCAGGTTTGAAGGTGTTGATAATTTGACTGCTTTTGATTCTGTCATGTTGAAGTGCTCCTTTTCTCACGGCGGAGCCTACTTGAGTCTGAACTGCTGTAAAAAAAACGACAAAAAAAAAACGAATGTCTGGTATAGTAAGGACTTTATCTCTGCTTTCTATTTCTTATTGAGACATTTCCAGTTGTACTTCGCCATCACATCTCCATCCATGATAATACTGTTTGGTTTTCTTTAGGAGCCCTCACATTTGTTTCGTTTGATTTTAAAAAAAGGAAGAAAAAAAAACAAAAAAACTTGTATTTCCTCTCGGTTTATAGACGCAGCGCTGTAATGCATACCTAGAAAAATGTACAGTACGAACGTAGGTGGACTTTTTTTATCAGTGATTGAAGACCCACGCGGTCCATGCTTGCTATTTGTAATTTAACACAAAACTTCTGTTGTCGTTTTTGCATTGTTGATTTCCAGTTTTTTGAGGCTTGCTTTGATAGTGCCAGTGAAGTGCAGATATACTTTTTTGGTCTTTGACCTTTTCTACAGGTGACTTATCCTTCATCCTCATTAAGGGCTATCACAGTGCATCAGGCATCAGACAGCGGGGAGTGGAGTATAGGACCACAGTGAACCAAGTCATCCACTACTTAACCTTGTTTATAAATGGAGAATACTTGCAGTATGTGCTATAAGAAGTATAGGCAGGGTGTTAATGTAAACAGAAGATGTGTGTTTTGAGAGATTACCAACACTAAAACCCTTTTCTTTATGTCTTTCTTCATGCATCTGGCCTTTTGGTTAACATAATTTGGTATGACAGTGTTACCTGTAACACCTAATGCAGTATAAAGACACGTATCACTAAAGACACCACTACCAGGACAAGTATTGCATGTTTCCCCAAGTATTTGACTAAATGACCATTCTCGGGACTCTGCATGTTTTAACCGATTAGCTACAAACCTTGTACTTTATTGATGACCATTTCTCCAGTTCCTAAATTGATTTACTACTTCCAGCTTATGGCTTCAGTTCATGCCAGTAAGGCTTGACTCTGAGAGAGAATCTATGCCACAGATGACATTTAGTCATTTTTCTTTCTTTGTGCAATGATTGCTGGTGTAGTTGTGCCTCAGAAACTCCTTGTTATTGCACTCAAAGACGCTCTGTACCAGGAGAGAAAACGTTTGAGTTGGTACATTTCTTCTTAGCTGGTCAGAGTACCAATCCAATAATATCCCTCAATCTTTTTACCAAATTGAAATCTGTATACCACACTGTGTGGAACCATTATAACCCTGGTTTTAAAATGGATAACCGATTTGTATTTTGGATTGGTGCACCCTTGCAGCTTTAAAAAAAAAAAATCATTCCTATCCACTACATTACCTGCATTCAAACTAAAACATGACTAAATGTTCTCTGTGGCCTATTTCAAACCAGTTTGTCACTTTGAAGATGAACTAACTCCAGAAGCTATTGGAAAAGAAGAGCATCAATCGATACACTTAATTTAAAGTTTGAACACTATGTTAATTAGGCTAAAATATGTTATTTCGAAGCACCAGTGTGGTCTTTAACTATCATTATGTCTGCTGAAAATGACACTAACCTTGAGCGTAAGAAAGCAGACAGCCAACTGTTAACACTGCTGTCATAAAGAGGATGCCAGTATTTAAGTGGAGCGATATACCAGTATGGATAACCCAAGTATTTATCAGTAGTTGTGATTTACTGTGTGTTGAGTGCAGCTCACTTTAATGGTGAAGAACCATCTTGTATTTTAAAACTTGACACTACAACTCTGGCACATGGTGAAGGGCTGACTGGCTGTTAGTGTGGGTTTGGTAGTGAGTTTAGCAGCCGAGTGTTGCACTGTGTGCTTTTGACACTTTTTATCTCAACATATATGCGCTGAAGAGAGGGAAGGCAAGACTGTAAAGAAACCTCAACCTCCTTCTCATTTTTGTCTGTTTTGAGCAATGACCACACACTCTTATTTATTGCCTTTCATTGCCTTGAATAATGAAAGATGGTGTTGCCGGCCCTTGATGGTTTCGGAGCTCGCTCTGTGACCTTCTTGGGTGGCCGTGGTTGTGTGATTTCTCTTCCTGCAGGCTTGTTAAAATGAGTGGAATCAAAATTATCTTTCAACATCAGTGTGGAGTCAGTGCATATTCAAAACGTTAATCTTATTCCCTTTTTTGTGTGTTTTTTTATTTCCTGTATGATAAAGAAAACATTACCAGAACTCTATTATTTAGGACCACTTGATTTGTTTTTCCTCACTCCAATTAAACCTGAAGGTCAATTGTGTAGTGGTGTATAAAATGCTGTTTTTTTTCTGTATGTAAACCAAATGTAAATTATGTATTATACTGAGTGTGCCAACCCCACTCTCTGTAGAGCCAGGCTCTCTCTAAGTGCCAACGCTGTGGTCATCATCAGAGGACCACCACCTGAGATGGTCTCCCCTTTTTAAATAAAACACACCAGAGACTAAAAGGATAGTTGATTAAGTACACACAAAGACTTTATTCTGTATTTAAGATTGAAGATTTAAAAAATAATCTGCTGTTTTTTTAAGAAACTGTAATTATAATTGCATGTGCTGTTTATTTTGTGTTGGAAGTGAGGGCTTTGATGTTTCATTGAAGCAGGGAGCCCTGAATGAAGGGGGTTCAATCAGTTGGTTATTATCGATTATTGATTTACATAACTTGCCATATTTTTTTATGTGTTTCATGTATTTGTTTCAACCACTGTTGCCTGATCCTCATTCAAACATGAACATGACTTATGATCATTGCCGCCTTCTAAGAGAGAAACATAATGACAAGGTATCTGTTTTAAATTGAAATAAATTTGTTCCTATACTTGCTCATGGTGTGTGTGTTGAGTGGGTTTCATGATGCTTTAAAACGTAGCTGAAGAAATCTGAGTTGATCATGTGTATTTATATTTTGTAATGGTAACAAGTATCGGAATTGTGATTTTATTATAATTTCAGATTTAACAAAAAAATATTTCAAATTGCATTTGTACATTCAAATTTCCTAAAACGTTTTGACCTATGGTGTGTTGTTGAATTGTGTAAATACATAACCCTGAATGTTTACTCAAAAGGAAATCTGTAATTTAATCAATATAAAGGTCACTTTCATTTGATTGCCTTGTTTATGTAATTCAATCTACAATTTTGTATAACAATTATATGTTATAGGTGAATGAAGAACCAAGTTGAGTAGATGTGAGCGTCAGCTAGATTTTGGGATCTTTGGGGCCCCTGATGCTTGCTCAGCCTGTTGATAATCCGGCCCTCTATCAAACTCTGTGTTGGAAAGCAACCAAGTACCGTTGCTCAAATACTGAACTGAACTGAAAGTACGATTTTGAAGTACTTGTACTCTTACCAGATTATTTCCATTTTCTGCTTCTCAATAATTCTAGACCATATCATTTCAGAGAGGTAAATGTATCTCTGCACTACAGTTATCTGACATCCCTAGTTACTTTTCAGATTAAAACTTTGCAAAAAATAAATAAGATTGAACCAGTAGAATACGGTTTACTAAGAGGTAACCTAAATATTACAAAAAAGTAAGGAAGTATAACATTATACTGTGTAAAACAATAAATATAAAACATTTCACATATGGAAATGTTACAGCAGAATGAGTAGCCTACTTTTTTACTTGAGATACCTGATGAGAATCATTCTGACTATATTTCTGTACCCAAGTGAGATTTTAATCGCAGGACTTTTACTCATATGGGAGTATTCTGACAGTAGGACCAAAACAGGATCTGAATACTTCTTCCACCTTTGCAGCTTGTCTCATAGGGTGACAAGGTGCCAACAAGCCATGTGGGAAGTGTTACTGCAATAATACAAGCTTGTTTGGATTTCAATAATGTCCATTTAACTCTAAAATAAATTACATTTCAATTGGAAATATTAGCTTATGAATATGAATCACAATGCTTGACTATAGTTTGATTTGATTGAACAAATATGCTCCTTACTAAGTAAAGGACTTGCATATATTTGGTTTGAATGGATTTGTTTTCCATCCAACATGTGTCCTCCATTCCAACAAAACATGTCCACATTATATTTTTTTGCAATCTCTGAGTCATGAGCTTGAGATAAAAATTCTGGTCACAAAAACTATTTGGGAATCACCCTCCACTGCTACACAAGTAAATACACGTTGTTGATTGATTGATATCTGACACAGCTAAGGGGGGGACAATATCTCAATTTGTGGGACAAATTATAAAAATGCTGTGCAGTCTCGGACAAAGTTGGACACGTGGTCCCGGGGCCCCAGAAGCCTCCCACCGGCCCTGCAGCAGCCCAGCCCGGCACGAGGCTTCAGTTCCGCGCTGTGTCGCACGGGGCGCCCGCTCCTCCGCGGATCGGTTTGTTCTTCGATGCTGCTCTTCTCTTCAAAGCAGAGGAAAGTCGGGGGCTCATGTGTCAACATCCAGGGTTTCCCCGGGGAGGTGTAACGTTAACGTTATTCCAAAAAAAACTGATGTTCCTTTGAAGACCTTTTTATTTTTTGTTAGCATATTCATCGTCGGAAGCAGCGGTTCTTTTACCGACTGTAAAGACAAGAAAACGATCTTTGGCTCCCGCTGCTTTGACGTTAGCTAACGTTATTTTAAACGATGACAGAGTACAAAGTGCGAATAGCGTCTCCAATCATTTAATAATATCTGGGGACCTGTTAGCTTAGCCAGCTAGCCCGGTGATTCGATAAGACCAAAGGGAAAAAGGCGAAACACACTGCTGACATGATGTTTCCTCAATCAAGGCACTCGGTAAGTTGGCCGGTTGAACTTGTCCCGGTAGGAAACTAAACAACCTAGCAACACGAGCTAACGGCTAGCTATAGCAACCGACAGCTGATACTAGCTGTGCTGTTAGTAGCTGTCAGCTTCACAAAGCCTCTCTGCATCTCCTCACGACGTTAGCACCGTAATATTAAAAGCAGACATAGCAAATAGTACTTTTACATTAATATAAATACTGGTGTAGCACTTTATTTCCTGTTTTTGACTGCAGACACAGTCTGCCGTTAGCTAGCTGTTAGCAGTGGTGTAAAGTAACCAAGCACATTTACTCAAGTATTGTTCTTCAGTACAATTTTGAGGTACTTGTACTTTACCTTGGTATTTCCATTTAAAGCTACTTTATACTTCTACCTCACTACAATTCAGAGGTAAATAGTGTGCTTTTACTCCACTACATTTATTTTGTACCTTTAGTTACTTTATATGGATTAATAAGGTGAAATATAAACAGCACTTTAATAAGACTTAAGTTACACCTGGAGTACAATTCACAAGCTACCCTGCAGTACACACCGTCATTAAAACTAGCAGCAGCTTTGATAAACTAATTAATGCATCAATAATTATAATCCAAAAATATAATATATATACTGAGATTACTTTTACTTCAGTAACATTTTGATTGCAGGACTTGTATTTTTAACAGAGTATTCCTACTTTGTGGTACTTCTACTTGAATTTAAGTACAATATCTGAGTACTTCTTCCACCTCTGGCTTTTAGTCAAAACAGCTCATTTGAGTTCATGGCTTGGAGAGGAAGTGAGCGTGATATGTTGCATTGGTTTGCTAACATTAGTGTTTCTACTGTGAACAAACCATGTAGCATAAATATGAGGATGATTCAAATGTCCTTATATAACATTACTAACGACTTTGACGAAATCATTTGGTGTGCATTGGATGGAACATTTTATCTCCAAAATATTTTATTAAAACTTCATAAATGTACGAATTTCAAGTAATATTTGTGTCTGTAAGTGAGCTTAAAGAGTCTTGTAAGGGTTGAATTTGAGGCAAAATTAAACAAAACAATGGCTTAACACCAAAAAGAAGCTGCAGGCAAAACATTTAATATGTTGATAAAAACAGTCTAAGAAGTAATGACAAATTCATGCCAACAAACTGAATTTAGCGGTTTCTTGTCAACAACAATGTGATTTTCAAACTATAAACAAGTCAGTTAAGATGTGCATACATAAGAAACTCCTAAACGCAACATAGTTGAGCATATAATAGCAGTTCACATGCTAATCACTAAAATATTTTGTAAAAATGTATAGAGGTGAAACAACTCATTTGGACTGGCAAGTGCTAGAAAATAGTGATACATTCCTATCATAGTTGTCCAAAGTCCAAGGAGACCTCTTCCAAGGTACCATCAGGCAAACATCTCAATATATCCAGTTTACAATTGACTTCATCAAACCTTTATTTAACCAGATTGGACTTAAAACAAAGAAAAGCAGAAAATCCTGTTTTTGGAAAAATACTCAAATGATTACTACATTGGTTGCTAAGCATATTTCAGTTGATGAATTACAGAACTAAAAACATATAATCATAATAGCTAATCAACAATATGATGGACTATTGCTTTATCTTTTGTGCACATTTTCAAGCCAAGATGCTAAAAACTCCAACTTCTTAGTGTGAATATATGCTACTTTTTTTACAATCTAAAATGTAAAATCAATTGTTTATACTATATTTGTGTGCTTCTAAAACGCAGTACACTCGTGCACTGTCTACAGGGTCACTCCGTCCTCTCGGTCCAGTCCCATAATCCCACTGGAAACCTCTTGCTCTTGTGCCACTTATTTAGAGAGTAATGAGGTTTAGGGAACTGGATAAACCCCAGGATTACAGCTTTGGATTGATGGTTTAAGTGTAGTCTATACATAACCAGACTTCTAATGCAGCGCCTTAATACGTCTCACATATGGTCAGCAGTAGCACATTATAATCTTCCTTCTTTAAACACATTTCCTCAATCAACGCACTCTGTTGGCTTTAAAATGCTTTGGACCGTGGTATTTTAAAGGCAGATGCTGGGTTACAATTTGATGTCAAATGTAAGCGCAGTGTTCTAAGTCTCAATTTATACTTTACACTTGCACTCAGACATGAAGCCCAGTGTAGGCTGACCTTCATTTTAACTATCCTCTCAAAGGGTTAATCTCAGAGGTCAAACTACTGGCTCCAAACAAACACATACTTAACCAGAAATGGCAAAGGTCTTCTGTAATTCCTTTATTTCTAAATTGTTCGGCAACTATTTAACCATCCAAATGTAATGTTTCAGACTCGGGATGGATCCACCGGCTGGTGAAACCTTAAGAAGGAATTGCAACTTCAGTATATTGTAGACAGAATTCAAACCAAGCATTTCATTTGATATATCTGCCCCATTGTCATCGATCCCCGATCCAGCTATTTGAGTCCGCCCGAAATCAGTATCAGTGCATCTTCATTTTAGACTGAGTGCATGTACCTGGATGCAGGGCTCAGTTCGAATGAATGTATGCCTCTGTGTGAATTCATAGAGGCTGATCATGTTCTGTTCTCCAGGCATCCGGTCAGTCCAGTCAACCTCTCAAGTTCACCACTTCTGACTCCTGCGACCGCATCAAGGATGAGTTCCAGTTCCTCCAAGCACAGTACCACAGGTATGCAGCGAACACTGCCATAGCCTAACTTAATTTAACTTCCGGAGTTTATTATTATGCCAAATGCAAATCACTTCAGTGCTGTTTTAGTTCCCTGTAAGCCAGCATTTCTGCCTTTTGCAGAGTTCATTTTCTTTTTGCCTTGGTCTACCTTTTAAGCTATTGTTTGTCTTTTTCTAAGAGTGTAAATCTTAAAACTGTTGTGTTATTCGCACGTCAGCTGCTCTACCTTAGATATGTCTTCGGAATTAGGAACAAGAGCAGATTTGTTGCATCGGCCCAAAAATAATTTTCTAATCCAGTCAATCACAATTGATTTTAGAGGCAAATTAGTACTAGTATTGGGAGCCTCACCAAGAAGTAATTACATTTGATAGACATTGTTATCTTGTGGGAAATATGATGACCAAACATGAAGCCGAAGCAAGCCAGAGGTCATCTTAGTTTACTGTTATCTTTACCGTTTACTTATCATCACAGGACAGATTTGCCTTTACACTAACCTTTGTTTAATACTTGTGTTCGTTATTTGCAGTTTGAAGTTGGAGTGTGATAAACTGGCTTCTGAAAAGTCAGAGATGCAGCGTCACTATATTATGGTACGTTTCCTAATAATCCTTGTCAGTGACATGTGGCTTTGTTTAATCTCATCTCCTCTAATATACCGACTAAAGTACATTTTGCAGTATAAGCATAGACATGGAGGCAGGAATGTCTATGTAGTGGCTGATTATTAGTTCAGTCATACATAATGACAAATCGAGTTACACTGAGGGGCTTCCTCGTGTTCACTCATCACATGATCAGTAACTGATACATGTTTTTGAAGCTTCTGTCATAGCCAATGATCAGTTACAAATCTCATGACAACTACACATATTATTCCATAATCCACATTGAATAATACATGAACCGTGCCTATAAAAAAAAAATGTATGCATTTGTCTGCCCTTTTGTACTTTACATAGAAGCATTCTGGTTGTGTGTTAAAAATGTACATTAAGATTAAAGCTCCAGTTTATTATAATGTGTGTCTTTTTCTCCTGTGTTTTTGTAGTACTATGAAATGTCCTACGGGCTGAATATTGAAATGCACAAACAGGTAACAATTTCCCCCTACGATTTATACTTCTTCATTGTAGCTTAGATCCAATAGTTTGATGGTCTGACCTTTTTCAACTTCCCTTTTTTCTTTTCAGGCTGAAATAGTTAAGAGACTGAATGGAATCTGTGCTCAGGTGCTGCCTTACCTGTCACAAGAGGTAATGACACACATTTTCCTGAATATTTCTCAGTGTGCTTTTATGCCTTTTTTAAATTTACAAAACAAGCTCTTCTGGTCAACATTGACCCAAATGTTTTTCCCATCGGTCACTTGGACATAAAAACATGGGAATTGATGTCCATGTGAAAATACCAAAGTTACCCTTTTAGATGTTCTGCCGTGTTCCTGTAGTTGCATGTTTAGTTGTGCGTGACCATGTGATGTCTTTGTTTCAGCATCAACAGCAAGTCATGGGCGCCATCGATAGAGCCAAGCAAGTCACGCCCCCTGAGATGAACTCCATTATACGGGTGAGCTTCTTTCTCCCTGCAAGCGGCTATAGATGATGGGGGGGGGAATCGTGGCTCATGCCAAACATGAAATAAACCATATGTAAAGCCAGTCATTGTCAAGACGGCAAAGTTACTTCAAAATTCAAATGACAAAAGTTATTGAAATCATTTACAAATCAAATAATTATACATTTGAATGGAAAAAAATCATGTAAACATGAGGTTTACAAATGCAAGTTTGGCTTGTTATGATGCATATATACATAAATACAGTAAGAGGAATACAGCATGTAAAATAAGAGCAAATATAAAACTATTATGTTTTTTTTAAAGTGTTAAAAGAAACATTAATATACAAAAAAGTACTTTAAATAAGAATATGACAAATTGCTCTGAAAAATACAAGGTGTAGTATTTATGAGTTAGAGCTGAGCTGCTTTAGAGGGGTAGGGTTTTTGCAGAAATGGTTCACAGTATGGGATATACGGAATGGAAACCCTATCATTTTGCTGCATTATTAGCAACTCACTTACACGTCTGTACCATGCCTGTGTCTCCAGCAACAGCTCCAGGTGCAGCACCTGTCCCAGCTGCAGGGCCTGGCCTTACCTGTGGCCCCGATGCCCCTGGGCCTCACCCCCCCCTCACTGCCCGCCGTCTCCTCCAGCTCCGGCCTGCTCTCCCTCTCCTCCATCCTGGCCAACTACTCCCACGGCCAGGCCCAGGCGGTGAAGGAGGACAAGGCCCGGGAAGCTGCGGAGAGAGCGAGCCGAGGGGAGGACGGGGACAAATCAGACTAGTGCCGACGAGGAGGTTTGGAGGGGGCTGTTGTGGGGTGAAGTGTCTACAAACAAAAAAAAAATAAAAAATTGAAAGGTAAAACTGTAACTGTAAATGGAGATTGATGTAAGTCTGGCTGCTGAGTGTTGATGTAGAAGAGTCACTGCAGGGATGATGACGAGCAAAGAGGACAGACTTTTGGATGTGCAGAGAACAAAAACTGCTGAATGGCTGAGAGTGAGAGTTAAATGTTCTTATTATTTAGTGGTAATAGAATCAGTTCAGGCTTCTAGACTTTAAATAGATGCTTTTTTAAGTGTGAGCCACTGTTGCGAGGCTTAACCAAGGTAAATGTTTTCCCATTTGGAGTGAGAGCTGAGGATGAAAGCTAACAGCATTGTCCCTTACACAGATCTGCCTCTCACTGGTTTATATTTCTTAACTCTTTTTGTTATCAGATCCCGTGTTTTTTGATCATGTCCTCCGCTGTCCCTTAGATTTCTTACTGGGCCGTCTGCCAGTCACAGTAAGCAGTTTAATGACCTCTCAGTTTCCTCTTGTCGCTGTCCCTTCACTCATGACGTACAGCTCCATTTCCCTTTTTCCCCCAAAAGAAAAATGTTGAGCTGTGTGGAGAGTCATACCATTCATTGATGTACTTGGAGCCAAATTGAATCTTAGTCTAATGGGATGTTTTCAAAGGGACATTTGCTTTCAAACCCTTCAAGCATTAACTTATCACCGTTTCTTGCATTTTCATACGACCAACCACTGGATGCATTACCTTAGCTCTGTACCTCAATCCCCAATAAATGGGCTTTTATTCCATTAAAGTTTTTGTACAAATGGTAGTATACCCATCTTGGGGGGTTAATGTGTCAGGCCTAGCTGCTGCTGCTGCGCACGCTACAAGGCACGGACCATGACTCAAATGACAATAATTAAAGTTCTGAAAAAAGTTGACTTTATTTTGACATGTGGTTTTCGTGAAGTTAAAGACAGGCTAATTAGACATTACAATGTGTCTGTGTGCTTGGGTGAATGTGATCGGAGAGAAGAAAACATTTGTTTCATTTAACTTAGTTTTTTTCTTAAAGCACCTTTTGTATTGTCCTCACACCGCCCCCTGCTCCTGCCCCCCCCCCCCCCCCCCCCCCCCCCCCTCGTGCTGGTCCACTCTTTAACGGACCAAGACAAACTTGAACAGGATCTAAACTTCAGAACCAGAGAGTCGTAAAAGACTTACGAGTACTGAACTTCTGTAAGTTAGAAGAGCACTTCAGTTTATACTGAGACTGTATCAAGCACCTGTCTTTTCCTGTCTTGTTTAACTTGTGTGTGATTGTCAGGGGAACATCCTCTCCCCTTTTTTTTATTTTTGCATTGTTTTAATGAAGAATGTGTCCGGGGTGAGTTTGCTAAAGCTCTGTAAGCAACTCAAACAAGCGTTCCCTCTGAAAACAGCGTATTAAATGAGATTTTCACAGTCAGAATTTGTCCTGGTAACCAACTTATTGTTCCTGTTGCAAAATAACTCAAGCTGGATTTATATTAAGAGCATTTTCCCAAATCCATACTACATGCATATTCTATGAAGTACACTGGGCTTGAGTATACTGAATCTTTACTTAAATACAGCCCCTAATAAGACGATGTTTGGGCTACACATAATGGTGCCATGCAAATGATATACCAACATTTGATTAAGTTACCATTGCAACCACCCCACATTATAAAGATTAGGCCACACTAAAATATATATATATATATATACATATATATATGGATGGTCCAACAATTGCTTCTCTATCAATGCCATTGATTATTTGAAGAAGTATCACCATGGTGCTATCAAAGGTTTTGTTGCTTTGGAGTTTCTATTACGAAGTGAAACAACCCGTAAGTATCTTAACTAGCAGCCATAAAAAGAGCTGCTCTAATTATTTTATTGCTCAGAAAAGTTATTTCCTTTCCTTTCTAAACTTTTTGAAAAGAAAGAAGAAAATGCAGCCCCACAATTCCTGGCATCAACTTTTAAAGCATTGCACGTTGATAACATCTACCATTCCTAATAATCCTACCAGTCCTTAATAAGTCTTTATAAGAACTCTTTCAAATACGGTCTTAAGATATATTTACTGATTTCTGTATAGTGCTGTTGATGGACTCTTATCCCCCATAATGCAATGCCAGAAGAAATGCGGAACGTTTGCCCACAGCTGGATACATGTAAGCTATTGGCAATAAGAAAGATCCAATAACATCTCAGAATTCTTTTTGGAAAATACATTTTCATGTTCATTTCCAAATGCAGTGGTTGACCTACAATGGAGCACATTTTGTTTGTTTTTCGTAAGTATAAAACTATGAAATATATTGATTTTCTTTGTGTACTAACTGCAAAACAGTCTGGTATTCACTGTCGGTAGTATGGAATTGGGACAGCTGAGGTTTTGAGGAATAGTAATGTTCATATTTAGGGCAGCAGAGGGCAGCAGTGCTCTCTCATTGATCATCAGTATAATGGGGTAACATTCACAGGACAGATGTTTTAAAGAGGTCCAGGTTCACTTTGATCGAGCTGTTATTGTCCTGTAATGCTTCCAGAGCTTTGACACTTCACCCCGTAACGTCTGAGCACGTCTGAGGTCGGCTAGAACTTTTCTCCTGTATTTTATTTTGAAAGCCACTCAAGTTGTGGCTCAGTGTTCTTTATTTTTCTCCTTCCTGTCTGTGTTAGTGTTTGGGAGCTGATGATTTTCCCTCCCTGGAGATTCGACCTTAATATATGGAGTGCGAGAACACATCAGTTGCACTCCCTATGTTGACGTCAGTCTCTGTAGAAAACCTCCTTTGGCAAAACTCAGACATATGAATGGTATGTGTGTTTGTTTTTGCTGTGAAGGGCCAATTTGTATACATATGAATATATCAATATACATATTTTTTAAAGCATTTTTGTATGTTTCAAAGCTGCTTTTTAACGTGTGTGTATCATGGAAGACTTTGGTGTTGTATGTGTGCATTACAAGCCTACAGTTAAAGAGAGGCACAATGTTGTATACCATGTCGTTCTTCCTGTTTTTCCTCCCCCATTCTCTCAGTAGGCAGTAACACTTAACATTGTTTTCTAGGTTTGTAAATGTATCTCTTTTTCTTTTGTGCAAACGAAAAAACAGTTTAATGTGTTTATGAACACGGTCTCATTTTAAGATACCTGGGGCAAAAAAAAAAAAATACAAAGATGTAAACAAGCAACTGTGTACTCTAATGAGAATGAATCAACCTTTTAGCAGTAAGGAAGCTTCTCTGGTGCCTTACAAATAAAAGATGTGATTGAGAGTGGTCCTTTGTCTCTGGTTGGTGTCTATGGGGGGGAATAGAAGAAGTCTGAAGGACAACAAGGAAACATTAAAGAACATCCAAATCATTGTAATGACTCATTGAGGCTTAGTCATGAAATGTAGCTTTTGGGAAACTGATAATAAACTGTTTATTTGATAGTCAACTCCTCTGCAACTAGATGATATAAATTGAGTGTATCCATTTTGAGGTGTTGTATGTACGATCCCATGACAGAGGGTAAGGAAGAAGAGACAACCTCTGTTCGCAAGGAAAATTAAAAAAGGGATTCAATTCAAATGCAATGGGGAAAAATGTGAAAACCTAAAATGGCAGATAAAAAAATGTCTAGAAACAGAAGTGTAGATTAACAGTGTCAAAATAATAGAAACACATCATTTATAAACAAAGTGTTTATAGCGATACAAACTCTCACTATTTTGATATTCGCTTACTATTTTGTGTTTGGTTATTCAAGTCTAAGGAATGCACGCTTACGCATAGTCAGTCACACACAAAACTAAACCCTACACACTCATGTCAACTTGCTGTACTGAAGCACACTAAGAAAACATAATAAAATGTTTTTTAAGGACTAAGCAGGAAGTATCTCTGGCAGATAAACATGTCAGTTCCCTCTGGTGGACAAAGGTTTTAACAGTGATATTGTTATTTAAAATAAGTATTTGATTGTTTTTTCTTTTATCGGTGTAGCATCAGCAAGTCGTGTTGATTATCCAGTGTAACGGATAACTCCAAAAGGTGATTACAACTCCAACTATCTACACGACTACATTAGTAGAGGTATAAACCGACCCTTTTGAAGCAGATATTGGCATGGTTATGAAATTAAAATCTATGAGAAGATACACCTACAATTTAAAATATATATTCATAGCACTCTGATCTAGCAAGTGTGTTAACTTGGAAGCAATTAAAGTGAGAACACCTCTGACGTGGCCCAGCAGCCCCATTCCTTCCTGCGCCTCTGAGGAATCCCACAGCCCTCAGCTGCAGGTCCAGACACGAACCCTGCGTCAGGGTGTTATGTACACGTATTTTCAACAAGAAACCTTCCCTTGCTCACCACAAAGACTCTTTTGAAATGTATTTTTTCTTGTAGTTGAAGTAAGCACTCGTAGACATCATGCTGGCTAACATTTATGGCAAAGAATTACATAAAACATCCGACAGGCTGAAGAAAATAAATGTTTACATTATGTTTGTTTCACAATAGGTTACACATCTTATATAAATGTAAGGAAGATGTCCAGTTTGACTTGAAATTGTGGTTGTATAAGCATTGAGGTTCAAGAGAACTGGAGAAAATATGGTTTATCGGATGAGTATTCCCCAGTAACGTCTTCATTTGTTTTGTCTGTCCTTTTCCAATTATTTATGTGTTTAAGTTAGTCTCTATAAAGAGAAGAAATCATCAAGTTGCCAGCTCTAAAAGTTGTGTTGCAACGTCACAGCAAAGCAGTGGTAAGCCATTCTTAAAAAGCTACACAGTTTATTAGATACAGTAGTAATACACATAATGAAAATGTTAGTAATACATAAAATCAGGTATTTAGTTAAAACAGTCCATTACACAGGCTTATCTTCTAAAAGACGGTAAACTATAGAGACAGGCAGATATAATCTAGCTCCAGTGTAGTTCAAATACAATTCTCATCTGACTGCAACACAATGGAAAACAATGCCTCCAAGGTTTTTTTCTGAAGGACAGAAAAGTCTTTGGCTGGTGTTTTTGAAATTGACAGATCTCTTTCGCAGTCTTTGCTCACTTTTCGGTTTAACTCACAGCATCAACTTCTAAAAACTCTGCTCATAAATGCAACACAGAATTAAAAACAACACAACAATATATATCATTGCACACCGTCAAACAGAACAACACAATCACATATTTCCGCAGCACACGCCCTAAGTGACAGACACAGACGGTGGAGCTGCTGTTCCAACAGGTTTAGGGAATCTCTTGAGTTTTCAAAGCTGTAAAAATAGTCGGGAAGCTGTCGCCGAGTGGAGCAGGTCTAGTCTGGATTCCTGGCTAGTGGTTACTGCATTGTGGGTAAGTCACAGGTCCGTGGATAATGGAGCTGCTGTGGGAGAGGTTGAAGGCCCAGGTTAGTAAGAGGAGCTGCTGTGAGGGGCTCATACAGGTCCGGTGTAGTTGTAGTGGTTTCCGTGCTGAGGGTCGGGAGGCTGGGGGCTCGGTTTGCGCTCAAGATGTTCGATCTCCGCCGTGTCTGTGTGTGTGCACGCCGTGTCTGTGTGTGTGCAGGGGGGGGCGCGCTGCTTGAAGAAGTCGGACACATATCGGACCTGAAAGGACAGAAGAGGAATCAATGCCAGAGTATAGGATGAGCTGAGGTTTTAGCTGATAAAACTCATAACAACTTTGCTGCTCCCAGTCCTGTAATACATCCACAGTCACAGAGATGTTGACTCAACTTAAAAGGTCTCCTATTATACTGTTTTTCATCAATATATTATAGGTCTCAGATATATACAAAACATGTCTCTGAAGTGTTTGGCTCCAAATACCAAACAGATCATGCATTGTAGCATCCCATAAACCCCTCTGTTTCAGCCCTGTTTCAAAAGTGCTGATTCTCTGTCTGTTACTTTAGATGAAAATAAGGAGCCACTCCCCACGCCCCTCTGAGAGATATTTGGTTAAAAAGAACACAGTGGTGCTCTAGGAGGAGATTCAGGTGATAAGGTGGGGGGGTGTTACCTTGGTTGGTGATTGGCTAATGGTTATACAAGCCAAAAAATCGTTATGACATCATAAAGTGGCCAAAATCTGATCAGCTCATTTTCAGACAGGTTTTTATAGAAATGGATCAGGACAAAAAGAGAGAGAATCTTTTTTCCTGAAACTTTCAGAATCTCTTTACACAGAGCGGACACATGTTGATGTAGAAAAGACAAGAAAAAGTGGATTTTGCATAATAGGTGACCTTTAAGTCATATTTTTGGTTGCATAAAATGACATTTGATTTGAATAGAGTCCAATTTAAAACCAACACTTGAGTCTTCACCAACAGTTAAAGTATGTATTGTTTGCAGGTGTTTCTATTTTTTTTGTAGATTAATACATGTTTTTTCTAGTTTCAAGGTCTGCGTTGTACTACAAACGATGCTACATTAAAGGTAGGGTAGGTAAGTTTGAGAAACCGGCTCGAGATACACTTTTTGTTATATTCCATGGAATGCTCTTAACATCCCGATAGCAATGAATATCTTAAGTGCTTTGACAAAAAATCCATAATAAAATGTCATCTGTGGAAGGCGTAGTACTGTAAAAAGCACGACCAATCATTTTAGCCGGCCCGGCTAAAGTAACTGGATGGCCTACCTGCCTGTCAGCCTTCCATCTGTGCACAAACTTATCTCGTGCCCTCATTGGTCATGTGCGTGTTCGTGTGTGTTGGAGGAGGGGCTCTGTAAGGAAGTGGCAGATTTTCTCCGGTTGTGTATTTTCAAATTCTAGCGATCTCGAGCCGGTTTCTCAAAACTTACCTACCCTACCTTTAAGTTAACAAAACCTGTCCCACTTTACACAAAAGAAGCAAGAAATCAGCATTTTTACCTCTATATAGAGCGCAGGAAATGTGTGTGTAGCATTTCTTTAATATATTGCATACCAGTTATTCTTTTAAATGGAGTGCCTAGGCAATCTTTCGCAAATAATACAATGATGATGGCACTGGTAATTGATGGAAGTTGATGCATATATTTTTCATAAACTTGTACACCATTTCGGTTTTTCCCATTATGTATTTAAAATCGGAAATCGATAATACTTTGTTGTGAGTATGGTGCAACTTTCTGTGAGTAAACTAGAAACTGTTTGAATTTACCAAAAGAAGCCATAGGATTTTGAGTTTTCTGACCATACACTGTACTTCACTATAATCAAATAAACATCCTGCACATGGGGGGGCTTTAAAACAACTGCAACCACTTTGTATTTTAAAATCTGTCTTTCAGTCCAGACGTCACAGATACATGTTGTTGTACTCACAGTGAGCACGGCGATGAGGGCTCCCTGCAGCAGCCCCACCAGAACGTCACTCCAGTGATGTTTGAAGTCAGACACGCGCGTGTATCCGACGTAGAAAGAGAACAGCAGCAGGAAGAACTGGATTGTGGGTCGAACGAGGCGTGTCCACTTCCCCTGCATCCGGGCCTGGACGTAGAGCTGCACACACAAACAAAATTTCATGTCTGGATTTAAAACTATTGATTTGTAAATTCTGGTATTTACTGTACTGTACTGAGAGAGGAGACTACTGTTAACATTCTTTTGGTCTACAATTTAAAAGTACACAAAAAATATGTTTTACTAAGAAGTAATTTTGTAAATCAAAATAATGCATACAAATATTTGACCTACAACACTATGATCTTTTTATGTTTAATGACACATTATAGTACGACATTTTTAAACTTGTGATATATATACTATACTTTTTTAAACCTAATTAAACGTTCGTTACATGCTATTTGTTTTACTTTTTATGACCCACTTTACTAGGAATTCTATACGATAGACTATAGTATAACATTAAAAAAAAAAAGTTGTGCCAAACCATTATACATGTTTTTTATTTGACATACTATGGCTTTTTTTTGTTTTATGACATTACCATGGTTCTTTTGTTTTTTACAAACTATTTATTTGGACTTTTTAAGACATGCTATACTATGACCTTTAATAAATGTTAAGAAACGTTTTTTTACATTTTTTCTTTTCAATTACATACTATATGATGAAAAACATGTTGTGACATGCTATGATTTATATATATATATTTGTATTAATGTATCGATTTTTATATATACTTTGTATGGCACTTTTATAAAATACTATACCATGACATTTTTATGATTTATTTTGAATGAAAAAAGGTTAAAAGGTATTTCATACACTGAAAATGTGCTCTTCTCCTACTTATGAGAATTTAATGTTTTCGCTGAAGGAGAGAT